TTATCATTTACCCCGGGGCTTTTATTGTGAAGGAGACACAATGGGGAACATGTCCGTATCAAAACACCTCAGGCTTTTATTGTGAAGGAGCCTGTGTGTCCTTATCTCACAGAGCAGCACTGGCCCGAGGCTTTTATTGTGAAGGTGTTAAATACTTGGATGTCCTTAATTGACTCCGTGACCCACTTTTGGGGTGTGGCTGTGGTTACGCACCGGTGTGTAATCAATAAATGGCAGCAGCTCACTTCCATTGTGTGAGTGCGTGCAGGCCAAACTAACTCCATGTCATTGAGTGCGTTTACATGCACATCAATAACCCGGTTATGATCGGGTTTTTTGAGTATCCCGGTTTCTTGATGGTGCATGTAAACGCAGTAACCCGGTTATGGCAGTGTCCCGGTTATTAGAAACCGAGTTACTGTAGCTGGTTTATTCCGATAGTAACCGGGAGACTGTGACATGTAAACGCAGTATCCCGGTTACTGCAACATAAAGTTGAGATGCATGTGTCCAAAAGACACTTTCCAGCCTTTCACCACAACAGTAGTGACATAAATAAATTGACCAACATAAATAAAGTGACCAAGTGACAGGTTAATGACAGTAAAATTAAGAGCTGCTCTAAACCTGCACATGTACAATCTGCACTTGTGTGACGCTGAAAAACTAAAACATGAACTATCTCCTGTACAACACACACACAGAACAGACTCACCATCATCAGCACCTCTTCTGTCACAGAAACAACACACATAATCCACTGAGTCGAGTCATTTAGTATGTGACAGAGCGCCTGTGTTGCCCCGTCATCTCCCGACTGGCGCGTCTACATCTGGACAAAGAGCGCGCACGTTGGTTTACACAGGAAGCTCGTGTGTCTCGCTGGTCCTGTTTTTCCACAACATCTGAACGGTTTCCCGGCTCGTGCGTTCGAGCTGCACACTCGACGCCGACGCCGCTTTCTTACCTGCAGCAGCCTCCGCGCCGTTCTTGGGTTTGGGGCCAAACCGAGGCACTTCCTGGTTGTGCTTTAAATATCGCATAGTGGCGCTCAAGGGGGACATGTGATCGTGGACTCGACCATTGTGTCTATTTAGGGTCATTTGTGGGTTTTTGAAGTTGTTTAATTTAACTTATGTTAACCTTATGAGGGGTTCTTTAAGTTATTACACACACACACATACACACTACACAACACACATACACACACACACACACACACACACACACATACACACACACACACACACACACACACACACACATACACACATTATTATGTTTATTTCCAAGTTGATTTGTGTTCCTCAACACAATTTTGCTTATGTTAATTCCTTAAAACCCCATTTTCGTTAATTGGTTAGCCCGGGGGGAGGGGCTAAGGGGGTATAAAAGGAGGGAGCTCCAGTCATTTGGGGGTTGGTATTTGGCCTGACTACGTGGGTGCTGCAACTGTAAGTGATTAGTGTACATATGTTTGTAAATACTTCTGTCTACCACCTCATTTTTTTTTTTTTTTTTTTTTGTCACTGTAAATATTTCACTCTGCACATGGAGCTGTGGTGTGAATAAAAAACCCACTTAAGTGACGTTTTTGACTAAGCCATCATTTTTTACATTTATTTCGGACGAACCCGTGACATAGTCCAAAAGAAACTGATCACATCAGCGGCGCAAGGAGCAGTTGTTTTTATCACCGCTAACAGTTTATGCTAATTAGCGATGCGGGTTTAAGTTTCGTTTCTGTAAAACGTAAACAAATGTGATCAGAGCTGAATGATCTGATCAAACCTGCTGATGTGTCTATAGTGTTTATGGTTTAGATGTTGTAAAGTTGAGTTTATTTATGCAGAAGATTTGACTGAAGAATCTGTTGGTTTGATGTGTGCAGTGGATTGTGGGAAATCTCGTAGCTCCTTAGCTTCTTATGCTAAAGGAGCTCACGGTTTGTATTTTTCCTGGTTTATGAAATTGATTTAAGTTCATTTTTGCGCTTGTGCATTTGTAAGATTATGTCAAGAAACCGGGACACAACATTTGATCATGTAAACGCGGACATGAGTGTCCAGGTTTGTCAGTGAACATGTAAACACAGTAACACGAACACTGACAGAACCTGGACACTGATGAACACGTGACGCACTCATTGTTTGATTTTATCCTCCGTATTTATCCAGCTACACTCTTTTCTTACCTCGATGGCTGCGCCAACAACAGAAGGAAACACAGTAACAATTATCTGGAGAGAGTTCAAGTCCCCCCCCGGGCTTTATTTGTTCAGACGGGGGCGCCGTGTTAGAGCGGTGTGTGGGCACACATGGCGTAAACCCAAAAAAGTTGACACAAAGTAACCGATTAATAAAGGAACGCGAAAGCAAGACAACAATGGCACCAAAGAAACCAAGTGTTATGGACGAAGAACTGCAGAACATTCAAAAATCCCTAAACTTCATGTCGGATGAGTTGAGCAAAGTAGCTGAGAAACAAGAGAAGCTACTAG